AAATTTTTAATTTCTCGCTGATGTTTCATGATTCGAATTTCTCATTGATTAATTGATCACTGCATTATCATATAATCAATGATTATAATTCCTAGTTTACATCAAAAGAATGCAAATTCTTATGTAATTAATGGTCATTAATCTGCAAGTCCTCTCTTTTTTTTTGTGATTGAACTTCAAGCATCAACCTTATTGTATTAGAATATGTAGACCCTAAGGCATCCTGCATCTTGCATCAAATTGATAGAATAACTTAAGGTTATATTATCATGTTAACTAAAAGTAGGGCGTATAATTGGTTCAACCAAACCAAAAAAAAAAACATAATAAAATTTAAATGAAATTAGGTAAGGTATAGTTCTAGACAACTACCATGCGATTATCATGAGGTTCATAGGTATATTTTTACATACGATGGAAGGTACAATCTTAAGAAAATTCAAATTAGATCAATAATTTTAAATATTTTTTTATAAAAATATAATATATTTGATTCTCGAAGAGTTGAATGTGCCCAATAAAAGTCTGTTGGATATACTCAATCATTTTGGTAAAGGTGTTTCCACTAAGTAGTTATGAGTTGATTTGAAATATAGAATTAAAGATCAAAGCTAATCAATTGCATGATCAACTTAAAATTGTAAACAAGATCAACATGGCGTGTTTGAGAATTATATAAGATTTACAAGACTTGTAGCTAAATATTATGTCTTTAGATTATTTTACTATTACTATTCATTCTATTAAAGATCTTAAACAAAAAATTATCGATGAAACACGCTATGTATGCATTGGATATTGAGGAGTACTTCAATCATTCTAATCCAACTATCACACATGTGATTCATGCCTCCTATAAAGTCTGGTACAAACACACCACGCAAAAATTATATATAGATGAAGTTAATTCAATTGAATAAATAAGTTTATGAATATTTTACTGAGTATATTTTAAATGCAAAAAAAAAAAAAATTGCAAATGCAGTATGAGTCTACACCATATGTAATTGAATTTGACTCTACATCTACAATAAATAATGTTTATGAACCTAAATATATGCTTGATCGAATGTCCAGATTAGAGCTTGAACTTTCGATAGAAATTAAGTATATTCCTGAATGTAAAATTGAATCAATTATTTCTATTGTAATCTATGAATCAAATGAGCAACAAAAAATATAATTGTTGATGAATTATCTATTGATATTAGTTCTGTGGTGGATGATCAGATTGATGTTGACTTTATTTTTAGTTATTGATTTCTTATTATACCAATTCATTAAAAAAAAATATTTGTTATAAGAGTTAGGTTGTAACATATTTTACGAAAATTGTTAATAATGAATGCTTAGAACAAACATAAAATTTAAAACTACTATCAACCAATTTTAACACCGTCGTTGCCAGGTCTCAAACCCTTGACCAGAAAAGTGGAGGGATGTACCAAGGTGTATGCTTTTTGCTAATGATATTCTTCTTGTTGATAAGACTAGACAGGGAGTTGATGGTAAACTTGACTTATGAAGGAAACCTTAAAGTGTAAAGGTTTTCATTTTAGTAGATCTAAAACTGAATATATGGAGTGTAATTGTAATAGTAATAGAACTAGTGGGGGGATTGTGAATTTGGGCGATCAAGTCATTAATAAGAGTACATGCTTTAGATATCTTGTGTCTATTGTTCAGAGTGACGGTGAAATAAATGGGGATATTATTAGCAAAATTCAAGTTGGATGGTTGAAGTGGAGGAATGCATCAGGCATGTTGTGTGATAGAAAAGTCCCCCTTAAACTTAAGGAAAAATTCTATAAGATGGTGGTGAGACCTGCAATACTTTATGGTGTAGAATATTGGCCATTAAAAGAGAAGCACAATATTAAATTAAGTGTTGTAAAGATGAGGATGCTCTGGTGGATGAGTGGCTTTACTCCTGGAGACATGATACGAAATGAGCATATATGTGAAAAGGTTAGAACTCTGATACACCGACACTTCTCCTAAAAGAGACGTGCAGTGTCCGACATGTATCTGACACGACACGCGTTTGACACACCTTCGACTCTTGTCAAACACGTCGAAAACATGTCTAATTTAAAAATATATATATTAAATACAAATTGGACACACGTGTCAGACACTGTCTTAAATATTTTATGAAATTTTTTTAATATAACGTCTTGTAATTAAAATTTTAATTTATTTAAATATAAAAAATTATATTTCTTATTTCCTCTCCACAATACTAAATCAATCGCTCGCACTCAATATCTCATTCATCAAATATTCTCATTTTCATTTCTCATTGACATGTCACAACTTCGGTTTCACAACAATGCCTGATGGCATCTTAACATCAACGTATGTCGTCGTCATAATATCGACATTTCAAAACCATCTCAATATCAATGTCTGACACTGTCTTGACATTGATGCTCCAAACTAGCAATTTCTACACCCACAATATGACAGCTCATCTTTGTCTGACGTCATCTTAACTTCCATGACTAATAACCTCACGACATCGACGCCGGATACTTACAGTATAACATCAATGCTCGACTTTCGACAACATTTTCGTCTCATCTCTCGATTTCTATCACACATTATTAACACTAACTCTCGACATCCTAATATTAATCATATTAAGCATAAATTCTAGTTAAATGATTTTTTTATTTTTAAATTATTTTTAATATTATACTTATTCAATTTTTATACACTATTTTTAAAATATAAAAATTATAATACCGTGTCGAACGTGTCTATGTCCTATATTTTCAATAATTAATGTGTCCCGTGTCTGTGTCGTGTCATATCTATGTCGTTGTGTCCGTGTTTGTGCATCATAGGGTTATAGTAGCTCATTGGAAGATAAGATTAGAGAGAGTCGTCTTAGATGATTTAGTCACATAAAACGGCAGCCTTCTGATGACCCGATTAGGAAAATAGATGTATTAGATTTGGCTTATGTCAAGAAAGGTAGAGGTATACCTAAAAAGATTTAGTTATAAAATATTAGAAATAACCTTTATTTATTAGATTTAAATGAGAATTTGACTCTTAATAGGCCACAATGGAGGAAAATGATTCATGCAGCTGACCCCATATAGTGGGATAAAGGCTTGATGTTGTTGTTGTTGTTTTGTTTCTATCTAACCAATTTTAAAGATGCATAGTTCATCAACAATCATATAAAAATTATTTGGATAAATTTTGTCAAAGAGAATGATATCCATAAAATAACATGTCATATTTGCATGGTTTTTTTTGCTTTTAATTTTCTTATCTTATTTTCTAATAATTAATTCTAGGTCATTGTTTGCGTACATCATGACACACATGTACTTTAGATTTTTTTCTTTTTCTTTTTTGCTATATCATATTAGGCATTTGCCTGATTTGTTTGAAGTGCATGAGAATATATGTAGAACATGAACAACTAATTATGACAATTATAGACTTCTATTGATTGTAAGAAGAGATACATTGTGTTTAAACCTGATGAAAAGTAACAGAGCATCTAAACTCAAAAAGGCTTCTTTTAGAGAATTTAATAAATTTAATCTTATAGTGTATTGGAACTAATGCTAAAAATAAAAAATCTAGAAAATTTTGACATTAATCTAATTTTAATATGTATGATTTTATCTTATCTAATATATATGTAGTAAATTTATTGATTTTTTTTCTTTTTTCCATCTCCTCATGAATTTACATCCAACACTACTAGATAAGTTTATGCAACTTATTTCCGAAGCTATTTTGAATATTGAGATTGTATCTACTTTGCTGGTGAATTCTAAGGAAATCTACATTGGCATGATATAACTATCTGTGATAACTAATACATTACTTTGCAAAAAGCAAAAATTAATCTTGATTTTTTTGGTGAAAACCAAATATTAAATTCATCAGAACCAAATTTCTCCAAACTTGTAAGAGTTGATAGAGATCTACATGAGACTTCTAAGCGGATTCTATGCTGATCAGACCTTATTATGTAGAATTGTAGAATCTATTTTAACAGTATTGCAGCATCAGTACTATAGTGCATATTCATGGTATTATAACAACTAATCTTGTTCCTTAGCCACCCAATATTTTAATTGCCTATGCAAATTTTATTCTATTTTTTGGTTGTCCTATATGCTGCAGTCTCATCAAAAATTTTTAATTATTTTGTTTTGCAGTTCTCAACCTTATCGGTCATGTTGAGCCTATTAATAGATATATTGAGACATGTAATAGAAATCTTTGATTCAATAACTTTTTTGTTAGTCAAATTTTCAATTTTGTGTCCATGTTAGATGTGATTATTTTGAGTGAGATACAAGTGTAACTACCTAATTCCAAGATAAATTATATCCTTGCACCAACATGAAGCATGAATGTTTTTTACTTAGGTGAACTCTTTTCATCTACCTATTATCTTCTAAATAATATTTTTATTGGCTTATGCCTTATGTTATAAGAGTTCTTGATTTTGTTCAAATTTGATATAATTGATACTTCAATTGAAATGAAAATTTCCCAATTGCTTGCTGCTTTTTTGTTGATATTTGCATGATTCAAAGTTATTGTTAGTTTCATTGTTTAAAATATACTGCACTATAATTTTGTCTCTAATTCTCAAACTTCTTCATTTGCACCTGAAGAAAGTAATATTTTATGCAATTAATGATCTTTAACTTATGAATCATTATTTTTGGTGTGATTTGCATTCATTGCGTAAAACTAATTGCATGAAAAAAAAAAATCAATGAATAAAACGTCCAGCGTCACCCACTAGATCACTGTGAGTCTTGGACTTCATTGTTACTGTACCAAAGAAAAACAAAAGTTGATTAGGCCATAACTCTTCATCATAGCCAAAAAAAAGGAACCCCACCCAGATCTCGACTATCTAGTTTAGCTAGTATGTATAATAAAACAACAACAGTGAAATAAAGCCTAAAAAAGAATAAGCATAAATGACTCATAAAACAATAGACAAACTTTACCTGGCACTGTAATTGTGTTTTGACCACATCAAGCGGTGTGGTCACCAAAGCCGCTAATGCCCCAGCCGCTGCTCCGGCGGTAGCGTGCACAACCAATCTCTCATCACTAGCATTATCCGGGGAAACCTCCATCAAAGCCCTCTTCGAAGCCTCATAGGTCGCAAAGTGCACAGCCGTGAACGGCGCATTCATTACCACCGTCGTCCTATATGACGCATAGAACGCCCTCAAACCCTCCTCCCTGAACACCCTCGCCGCACAGTCGGCCACACCCTTGTAAGGACTGCTCCTCAGCTGCAGCCTCTGCTTCACAGTATCCATTGGCGTCAACACAGCGTCGCTGGCTACAGTCGCCACCACGCCGGACGCGGCATGGGCAGCGGGATTATTAGGGTTTCCTCGAGAAAGGTACTCCTTCGCCTTCTCGTACACGGAGAAGTAAACTGCATGGGCGGGACCGGCGCCGAGACTCATCGCGCCGATACCACGGTAAAGGCCCAGAGGGCCCTCGAGTCGGAGGATAGAGGTGAAGGCATGGCGGAGACCGGCGGGGACAGAGTGGCAAGGGGTGGATTGGGCCTGCATCCTAGTTTTGAGGGTGTCAACGGGGAACATGGAGGTGTGCTCGATAACGCCGGCAATAGATCCAGCAACCATAAACTGCCAGAATTCGATGCCGTCATGCGAAACGCTAAGCTCAGCCTCGGCGTAACCGGCCGCAGGGAGGAGGTCCGGACGATGGAACTTGGGGGAAACGTCGGCCATGAAGATTGCTATTAGGGTTAGGAATGAAGGCGAGATGGAATAAGGGATAAATAGGGAAGTAAGATCGCTTTCTTGTGATGGAGAAGGAAGGGATTGTCGCCATGCAATCAATTACCCTGGGGGGCGATCAAGAGGTCACAGCAGATAAAAGGAGTGCGGTATCTCGAAGGACGGAGGGAATGGGAGTGGCTTGGAGTGATAGCGATCATGGTGGCTGGATCTTTCCTTCTTTCGACTGATTCCTATCCGCGGTCACTCGTTTGATTCTTCTTGTTTTTTCTTCGCCTTCCGATCTCGGCTGAGAATTTTCAGTTCTGCCCTTCGAGGCAATATAGGGTGAACGTGTGGATATAGGGAGAGAAAGTTGCCGCCTTTGAACTTTGGGGAAGAAGAGATCTTTATTTGTTTGTTTAGTAACCTGTCGTTAAAAAACTACAATACTAATAAGAAAGAATTATTTCCTTTTATGGGTATAGCATTTATAAGCTATGCATTTAACATATTAATTTAATTATATATTTATCGAAAACTTAAATTACAAAAAATAATCAAAAATAACATCTAATTTCATCCTCTTTATTACTTTAATCCAATCTATTCGGTCACGCTAAACAAGACCCAAGTCCTTCACAGAAAAATTATTGTGTTCGGACAGAGTACCGAGCATACGGAGCTCGGTACCGACCACGGTAACGAGCGCCTAGTGATGTGGCGCATTTTTATTGGTCTCCAGACACAATAATTACTCTCCTTCACATGTCATTGATCTTTTCTTCGTCCTCCATATGCCATGTCTTTCCCCCACCATATTTGCACCTCTCACAAATTATATTTCCTATTCATGTGTTGCAACATCATTAATGCCTTCGCCAACCAGCTTCAATCACGACTTCTCTTTAACAATTCATTAATATCTTTGATGCTTTGATAATGAGCGTGTGTAATAAGATCCTTCAATAAATTTCTTGTGTCCAACAATATTGGAGCAATTTTGGTTAGTATTCTTAACAGAGGATCATGTCATGTAAATAGTTAAATTTAGTTGAGATTTTTTTTTCTTAGAGTGACTCTTAGATAAACTAATTTTAAAATTTTAAAAATATATTTTTTATGAATTTTAAAATCATTTTTTAATGTAAGTAGGGTATTATAGCATTATTTTATTTTTAATTTAAACAAGCGGTGGCAAAATTGTTCTTATATTTATATACAAAATCTCAAAGCATCTTCATCCCTAATGTGCATCTTGAATAAAATTATACTTTTATTTGACTTCTATAAATATCATGTTACTTTTTTTTTATGGATAAATGCTTGTGATTGTGCTTCTCACTACCATGACATCAATTTTTCATGGGCCTTAAAAAAGTAAAAGAACTTATTATAGTAGTCATGGTATTCCATATGAGAATGGCCACTAAGGCATATAAGGGCAAATGATTGTGCATGTGTGGTGAAAATGTTAGTGGAGCATATTATGTATTGGTTGGCTATTACATTGAACATTTTTTTCTATAAAGGCTAAGTTGATGTGTGTGCCATTAATGGGGTGTAGACCCTAATTTAAAAGGAAGGGAAAAAGATGTGTACATCAAAAGAGTTATTGCATGGCCCTAGTGAGAAAAATACATTACTATTTTGGTAATATATTGAATTACAAGTGCTGTCAAACAGGTTGTAGGGTGGTGGCCTATATATAATTGATAGTAGAAAATTTTCATAGCGGGGGCTCAAATAGAATTTTTAAAAATCTCCCTGAATTTTATCATCCTAGCTTCAGACTAGAATTGATAGATTTAAAAAAAAATTGTTGAATTTATTATTCTATAAAGATAAAATAAGAAAAAATAAGAAAATAAAAACTAATAATTTATAGCATCTACTTTTCATATTCTCACATGCAACCATGTCAATGGCTAATATCATTTACTTGATTTTGATCTTTTAACCATGAAAGAGTGCTCGAAGGGTATGTTATTGCATAAATATTTTGTTATATTTAATTCAATTCTATAATTAAAATTTGGAAAATTAATAAAAAGTTAAACCATTATTATATTTTTTTTTATGTCACTTGATTGGGAGAAGCACATTAACAGGACAGGGTGGTGAATGGTGTTGAGCCCATATAACTCATGAATGATTTATTAGTGATTTGATGATAATTAATTTTATATGATTGAATTAAATAATTTTTTAAATGCTTTATAAGTATACATGTAATAAGTAAAATGTGGTGTTGATTATTACTTTCATTTGTCATTCCTTGAGAATTTATAGCTTTTAGATGAGCTCAAAATAATCAATCAAAAATATTCAAGTGTGTAAATGAAGATTTTAAGAAATTAGGTTTATGTGTATGCATTTTGGTACTAAATTATTTCATTGAGTGTGTAGTTTACCTTAAATACCTTAAAGATTATGAACATGATAGTTAAGATATAAGAAAATTATTTCTAATTAAATAAATATTTTACATACATAAATAAACTTATTATAAATATTTTCAAAATATTAAAAATAAATTAGAGCTTTATTATATCAGTAAATATAGATTTAAATTGTTATTTATATCCTTAGGCATGGTTAGATTGCTCATTTATTTAGATGGTGGTCACTAAACTTGTATGGGTTTGTTACTAAGCTAAGTGCCAATTTGCATATTGATAGAGTTCTTAGGCTAAAAATCTATTTATTTGTAGATCATCACAAGCCTTATTGACTATTAACCTATATTTAGCAAGGAATTACTAGTTTCTTATAGTTATTGGGAATTTATTTTATGCCATCCGAGAATGAATTATTGTGCTGCTAATTTTCACTCATGTTATTTTATGTAGACCAATATATTAATTCTTTAGAAAGGCCAAGTGTTTATCATTCAACAAAGATTCTCTTGAGAATATATAAGAGAGCTCAACTATTCTTTCTTGTTATTTATTAGAGGTTAAATATACTATAAGAGTAGTAAAGTACACATCACTCATTTGTGATCAAATGCGGACTTTTATTAGTTAGGTAGGTATTATTGGGTCTATAAAGGATGCTCCATTGAAGTTCATGTCACATTGATGTTGTTGTTCTTCATTTTTTTCTCTCATGAACTAGTAATCTTTCAAGTCATAAATGTGAGAGAATCTACCGATATGGCATTTGTTTTTGAGAGGTTACCAAAGAGTTTTCCTTCAACCACTTAGTTCTATAGTTGATATCAAACTATAAGAGAAGCAAAACATATTAAGACATTCATCTCATCAAATTTAGTATTGTTATCATGAATTTAAGTGGGTCCACCCTTAAGAGAGGCCATTTTATGGCCAAAATGTAGTGCTAGAGTTTTCGCACAACAAATTTCAAACACTAAATAGTGCTTCTCAATCGATGAATGCTTATCTTTTACTCCCACTAATATTCAATTGATAAAATATAAGTCATCTTCTTTTTATCCTAATTATACTGGATCAATAATGCTTTGAGCAACTACTTGAAGGTTGTTGTGTAAAGGAGTAGCGACTTGACTAGACTTAGAGGCATCAAGACCAGAGTTTTAAAAAGGTTTGCTTAAACCTATAGAAAGATTTTTAGAAAGTTGTGTCATAAATGATTATAGAAACTTTCTTCATGAAATTAGCAAATGGTTGCATACATCTAAAAGATTAGAAATGAACCATCAAATCTAAGTTGTGATATGTTGGATAATTTTGTATTTATAATGGATTTGATCTTTAAGGGGTCAATCCCGATACTCCAATGATGCATTATGAATACAAGGAATCTATAGAATGAGGCCCTAAATGCATATTTGATTCAGTTCATCTTCAAAGTTTACATTTTATTCATTTTAAACATGATCTTGAAATAATCAAGATGTTCTAACCTTTGATGAGCAAGTCATCAATATTTTATTTAACCTTTTTATGAATAAGATCATCAAATGTTATGATTATGATCCTTTTTATGAATAATCCCTTTTATCTCTTAAACTCTTCTCTTGCAAAATATTTTCTAACTTTACAAGGGTTGTGATCTTTCCCAAAGTTTGTGTACAATCAAGTTCAAATGATTTGTAAGTCATTTGAGTGTTATACAATGATCACAAAGTGTTATCAGATCACTTCACTTTCATTTTTGTTTTTATTTGCAAAATAATGTTAGATAAATTTATGTAATATTTGTATATTCCTATTTGTATTTTTCTTGATAAGTCATAGAAAAACTTAGTAAAACTGCTTCTGGGTTAAACTTACCTATAAAGAGTGTATATGTTGTGACAAGTTATCCATTAGCTTCAGGTGCAAAGTAGCTTTTAGACTAATGTTCCTAAGTATGAGGCAATCAAATCCTAATTTTAGTGTGAAATAATTATGAGCCCAGTTAGACATAAACCACATAAAGATCATTGATATGTTATCTCTTTTATTTCATATCTATTTGCTACTCTGAATTCCATCTAGATTTTTTGTTGGATGAAAAGTAAGATGAAATATTGATGCATATTTATTGTCCTCTTCACTTTTCCATATGCTACCATGTACAAAGGCTAGTAACCCTTACTTTTATTGATAGCATACCTCATGCCATATTTGGGGAGAAATATTATTATTCTCTTTGATAAAAGATAATATCTCTACCCCATAAATATGTTCTTTTGAAGATGACTTAATGGATATTGAGAAGAAATAGTTTACACATTATCAAAATTATGTGTTCTTTAGTTATGGTAAATATAGTATGATAATGTTGATAAATTTGTATTCATGTGTCCTTTTTAATCTATCTAATGAAGCAAACAATTATATTAAGGCCTAATGTTCGGATCAAACTCATCAAAATGAGATTCTTTAAACTCTTTAAGTTAAAGATGGTGTTGATCACTTTTTTGCTTCACTTAGATCTACAAGGTAAATGACATCTCATACTTGTTAGAGTCATGTTTTGAACTCATTAATTTCCCTTTATCAATTTCATTATAGAAATACTTAAGTCAAGTTAACTCACCCACACTAAAGTATGATCTACGTTCATTATAGTGGTCACCTTCTTTCACTTCAACTCTTTAAACATTTTCAAGAAGAATTCTAAAGGAAGTTGTTAACCTTCACTATTTTATATTCTAATATTTTAAATTATCATAATAATGTTAAATTTTACAAAAAGATATTATAGAGTTACATTTATTAGAGCCATTTTGACTTAACTTCTTTTTCTTCGCAATGGCCATGGATTCCCCTCCTTTGTTATCAATGAAGATCTAAGTACTTCAATTATTATCTTATTCTTAATTGACATGGAAAATATGTTGGTTAAACTGTGTTCTTTGATAGGGGAGAGTAGAAATTCATTGAAGAAGTTATAATGCAACCCAATTAAATACTTTGGTAGTATAAATATG